GATGAAGTAACTCTTGCTTAAGCATATTCTATGGTGAGCAGTGAAGAGAGTAGGCGGCAAGTACAGTTACAAGGACCAACTTCAAAACATTTTTCACATGTTGGAATACAGCCAAAGGGGCCAATGGAGAAGAAAGAGGTGATATGTGAATATTGCAAGAAACCAAAACATACTAAGGACACTTGTTGGAAACAATTTTTTTCCCATAAAGGTTTTAGAACAGTAGCAACAATAACAACAACTTTAAGAAAAATAGTCAGCCTAGAAAGTCCAAGAATGCAAATGTTGTTACAACACCTAAAGGAGGAAATAGAGAAAGTGAAAAGAAATCTATTGTGGAGCAATTGGCAGTAGTGAAGGCAAATTTTGAAAGATATGAGAGGTTAATTAATCATTTGGAGACTACTGTTGTAGCCTCCTCCTCAGGCAATACCTCTTCATCTACATTTGCTCACTTAGGTACTCGTGCTTCTGCAAATCATGCTACTGCTTCAAGTAATCATAAAATCCCTTGGATTATTAATTCTAGTGCATCATACCATATGCCCAACATACCTAACCTTTTTTGTTCATATCATCTCCTTTCTGGTAGAGAGAAAATATCCCTTGCTGATGGGTCTCTTGCTCCCCTCTCCAACAAAGGGAATATTAAAGCCTCTAACTACCTTGCTTTATCCTCTGTCCTTCGTGCTCCCAAACTCAACACAAATTTTTTATCTATTAGTAGCTTGACTAAATCAATGAATTGCAGCATAACCTTCTGTCCTACTCATTATATTTTTCAATGGACCTAAAATCTCAAAGGACGATTGGGAGCGGCCATGACGCGAATGAAATATATTTGTTTGATACCTCAGATCCTAGACCACTTAGAGGAGTAGCTTTGGAGTTTATTTCATTAGAGTCAATTGATAGAGCATGTTATGTCATTTAAGATTTGATCATTTGTCTTTTTTCTACTTTGAGTCATTTGTTCCAAAAATGTTTAAGGGAATATCTCTATCAAATCTTCATTGTGAGTCATGTGAACTTGCAAAACATTGTAGAAAATCTTTTTCAATGAGTAATAAAAGATCAATTTCTCCTTTCCATATTTTGCACTCTTATGTGCGGGGGCCATATCATTTATCTACTATGGGGGTTACAAGTATTTTATCATTTTCATTGATGATTTCTCTTGTTATACTTTGATTTACCTTATGAGATCCCCGGATGAAGTGCCAACTATTGTACAAAAATTTTATGAACTTATTCTTACCCAGTTTAACACTTGGATCAAAATATTCTGATTTGATAATGCTAAGGAATATTTTGAGAAGAATCTTTCATCCTACTTTGATACCTTTGGGGTTATTCATCAAAGTTCTTGTTCTTACACCCCACAAGAAAATGGAGTGGCAAAAAGGAAAAACTATCATGTGGTTGAAGTTGCTAGGAGCCCTCCTTTTTGCTTCTCATGTTCCTATCAAGTTTTTTTTTTTTTTTTTGGGGGGGGGGGGGGGGGGGGGTCTGTTCTTATAGCTACATACTTGATAAACCATATGCCTTCCCGGGTTTTGGGTTTCAAAACCCCCTTTAGCCTCCTCTTTCCATATGAGGATCTCTTCTCTTTCCCTCTCCAAGTTTTTGGATGCACTTGCTATGTTCATGTTCATAGTCATCAAGACATAAGTTTAAGACTAAAGCACACAAGTGTGTCTTCCTAGGATATGCCTCCACATAGAAGGGGTATTGTTATTTTGATCTAGTTTGTGGAACTTGCTTTGTTTCCAAGGATGTCACACTTGCAAAGTCTATTCCTTTATTTGGTACTTCTCTTGAAGGGGGGCATTCAAAGGAGTTATTTGTTGTCATCAGTTGTTCCTCTTCCAGTTCCTCTTGAGCCTTCTATTGAGTCTCCTCTAATTGAGTCTTCTATTGAGGCCCCTTCACATGTTCCTACTCCCCCTCCTCCTCTAGCTCATCCTCCCACATTTACTTCCCATCCTATTGTCCAAAGGTGGTACCAAAGACAAAGACTCAGGTATGAGCAAGTTGTTTCCACTCCTTCAACTGAGCCTCTTGCACCTCCCATCACTACTGAGGTAATAGATCAACCCTCCTCTACCCCTTTTGATACCTTTCCAGACCTTGATCTTCCTATTTCCCTTTGGTAAGGCAAACGGAAGTGTACAACCCATTGCATTTCCAAACACCTGTCCTACAACCTTCTTTCCCCCACCTATTATTCCTTTCTTGCTTTTGTTTCTACACATGTAATTCCCAAGTTTGTCCTAGAAGCCTTATCCAATCTAGGATGGAGGAATGCTATGATGACTGAACTATATGCTTTGCATAAGAACAATACCTGGGAAATTATGGATTTGCATGAAGGGAAGGAACAAGTTGGTTGTAAATGGGTGTTCACTATTAAGTATCAATCTAATGGTACTATTAAGAGGTTTAAGGTTCATTTGGTTGCTAAAGGATACTCTCAGATGTATGGTATTGATTACCTGGAGACTTTTTCCCCTGTGGCTAAAATGACTTCAGTTCAGGTTTTGCTATCTTGGATGCTACTTTTGATTTTTTTTATTGGCCACTTCATCAATTTGATGCTAAAAATGATTTCTTGAATGGAGACCTACATGAAGAAGTCTATATGTCTTTACCTTTAGGTGTGTATGGGAAGAAGATGCAATGGAAAGTATGTAAATTGAGGAGACCTCTTTATGGCCTCAAGAAATCTTCTAGAGCTTGGTTTGAGAGATTTCAGGCTGCTCTTGTTACTTTTGGTTACACACAAACTCAGTTTGATCATACCCTATTTGTTAAGAGGAGAGATTCCTTGGTAATCTTTCTGATTGTCTATGTTGATGATATTGTGGTTACCAGTAATGATGCTCAGGAAGTAAGTCATCTCAAAAAGCTTCTTAGCACTAAGTTTGAGATTAAATATTTGGGTGAACTAAGATATTTCTTGGGAATTGAAGTTTCTAGGTCTAAGGATGGTATCTTCATTTCTCAATGTAAGTATGTCCTTGATCTATTTGCAAAGACTGGCAAACTGGGTGCTAAACCAACATCCACTCCTATAGACCTCAATCACAAGCTCTCAACTACTAATGGTAAACTATTGACTGATAGAGGAGTGTTCCAGAGGCTGCTTGGGAAGTTGTTCTTTGCATGACTTGGCCAGATATCTCCTATGCAGCTAGTGTCATTAGTCAGTTCACACATTCTCCCAGAGATACACATTTAGCAATTGCAGAGAGTGTTCAGTGTTACTTGAAAGGAACTCCAAGTAAAGGTATTTTGTCTGCTAAGCATGGACACATGAAGTTGGAAGCATACACAGATGTTGACTGGGCTAAATGTATTGATGATAGGAGATCCACTTTAGGTTACTGTGCTATGGTGGCAGGGAACATTGTGTCATGGAGAAGTAAGAAGCAGTTTGTAGTGGCTAGATCCTCGGCTAAAGCAAAGTACAGGGCAATGGCACATGGAGTTTTAGAACTTTTGTGGTTGAGATCACTTTTAGAAGAATTCAATATTGACTTTGAGAAGCCAATGATGCTATATTGTGACAACCAGGCCGTTATCAACATTGCACATAGTCCTATTTAGCATGACAGAACTAAGCACATAGAAATTGACAGGCATTTTATACGGGGAGAGTTGCTTCAGGAGAAGTTTGCCTGCCATTTATTGCTTCTAAAGAATAGTTGGTTGATGTTCTAACAAAAGGTGTTCCTAAAGGAAAGTTGAATCACTATATAAGCAAGTTGGGCATGATTAACATCCTATGATTTAGCTTGAGGGGAAGTGTAGAGAGACTGGACCGAATGGGCCCTAGCCCATTACTATCTTATTGTTAGTTCTTCCTAGTTGTTTTGTTTGCTAATGGGCCTTTAATTCTTTTTTATGCTTTCTTTAAGTAGGTTGATGATCTGGATGCCCACTTAAGGGCAAACTTGTAATTTGTTCAATCTTAGTAAGCTTAATAAAAGATAAGAAAGGTGGAAGAGGAGACCATTGTACTCTTCTTTTCTCCCTTCTTCTTCTTTTCTCTCCTTGTTATAATCTGAAAATATTTTACAGATTTTTAATGGACTGAATCACATCTTTCACTAATTCCTCTAAGTGAACTGCAATTTGATTAATTTGATCTTGTTTATAGAAGCAACATAAAAGGTACAAATTATAATTGAATTATAACAAGTGCAATAATCAATGACATGTATTCTAGTCATCATTTGATTCATGAATGAATACTATAATTTGAACTTTTGTATTGCACTATTGGCCCCAATAGATGGAGGACTGTGTCATGTTGGTAACTTACATAAAACCATTTGTCAAACCCTTGAAGCCTGAACCCTTAAACTCAGCAATTCCAGGCTTACAGGTGTTCAGTATAAGAAATTCAGAGCAAAGTCACCAGAATGAAATGAGAAATGGGCAAATTGCATTTTACCAGAAATGATGGGATAAGGCCTAGTTGAGTTGAGCTGAACTTGGTTGGATTTCTAGGGATAGAGGGAAGTAGGGGGGTCGGTTGGACTGGATTTGGTCCAATCTGATCCAGTCCAATGTGAGTCCATTACAAATGGACCAGGTCCAATCCAATCCAATGAATAATTTGGACCATTTTGGACCGGTCCAATTCAATGTTCGGACTGTCCAATTTGTTCAAATTCATTTTAATTTAGATTGGCTTCATCCCGGTCCATTGACACCTATATTCTTATCTTATATCAAAATACTGGATATTGGCTTAAACCAACCAAATCAATATAAATTTATTACAGAAGGACCAGGTCCAGTCCAATCTAATAAACATTTTGGACCGGATTGGTCCAATCCATTATGCCTTTTTGGTCAGTCCAAATTGATTTTGGACTGGATGGGGTCCAGTCCAAACCGGTCCATTGACACCCTTAGAGGGAAGTAATAATATGGAACACAAGACAGCATAATCACATCAATAAAATAGAAGAATAAAGAGTAAATGCTACCGTGAATGTAGGGTTGTGATAGTCATCTTTATGCACTGTTTGCAATGTCCTAAATAAAGAATGTTTTGGGGTATCATATCGCCCATCACATAAATCAAGTCCTCCAACGAAAGCTATAATTTTCCGCTTGTTATGACCAGCATCAGCATCCACAATCACAGTTTTTTGATGGTGTGTATAAATTGTCTCAACTTCCTGGAGACCAAAAACTAAGAAGGATTAGTTCAGTGCAAATTTCCAATTTCAAATACCAAAACTGAAGAGATAAGTGACAAGGAACACTATAAATAAGAAATTGAAAAGAAAATTCTGGAAACAGGAATAAAAACATTAAGTGTACATCCATCTATATAAGTCTTTGGAGCAGTTCTGATTTATCTGAGTTATGTCCTTTGGTACTTAAAACTAAATGATGTAAGGAACCTCCACACTAAATGATATCAAGGTAAATATAAAATTAAAAAGGTAGAATCACTCCTAACTAGATTAGGATAAGTGAAATGTCTAAAAATTTTGAAATATTCTTGCCAACAGAATCAGGAAACTACTCGTGCTGCAATATCAGAAGAATTCATTGGGCTATATTGTTAGTGAAGCTCCTAAATTTACTGGACTAATTGGAATGAGTTTAAGTAGTATTTTTCCACAATAAGTGCATAATTGAGAAAAGAAATTTGGGCTGTACAAGACTTTCCTGTATACATGATATCTGTGATAGTATAATACAGTCAAAAGTTATCGAGATATCTATGATATGATCTGGTATATAACCTACTCACTAAGAAATTTCGTTTCCAAAATATAGCCATCCAAGAGAATAAACCAAAATTTCCCAAAAATGTAAGACATGATAACTGAGTCATAATTTACCTGGAATGATAGTTGATTTCATAAAATACATTTAGTCCTGACTATTTAGGATAAATAGCACTTTATGCATTCAATATCAACATTATGGGAAAAATAAAAATATCAATTCCATATCAACTAACATTTCAGGACTCACTTTGCAACTTTACATTTAATAACCAGCAACAGATGATTCCAAAAATTAAAACATGGCACTTAAATAACTCATGCTGGATGTAGAAAATAATTGAATATCTAAATTAACAAGACTTCTATCACAAACCAAATATACAGATAAGATAATCATTTATTTCTGACCTGCTTTTTTGCCCAGCTATGTCGTTTTCCAGCAGTTCGAGGACAAAGTAGCACCTGCACTGAAGAGTGCTTGAAAAAACAACGAGTCTCCTCATCATGTGTTGCCATTATACCATCCTACATACAGTGGAACTTGATGAGAAGAGGCATAGAGCAAATCTCTCTGACAATTAACATAACATATCCGAGTGAAAAAAAAATGATTCAAGAATTCCACTAACAGCAACCAAAATAAGAAGATTATTTTTATTTTCCTTACATGAACGGCTCAGTGGTCAGCCATCAGTAGAAAGGATTGATGAAAGCAGTATTCTATCCAGTTAATTTTTTTATATGTAAGGTAAAATTTTATTAACTCATACTTCAGAGGGAAGAAAATAGTACACAGTTACCCGAGGCAGCTCAAAATAAACGAGCCACAACCTCAAGGTAGAAACCCCTCAAATTTTCCACAAGTAACAGAACTAAAACCATGTGTAGACTGCAAGAAGTCCTTAAAAGTAGAAGGCCAAGACCCAATTTTTTCCTCCACAATCCTGACTTTGTCCTTGGATATACTTTTATTCCTTTCAGTCCAGATTGTCTAAACTATAGCTGCAGGCACCAATTCCCAGATTACTTTTCCTTTTGTATTCAGCCCATGCAAGTGCCAACTACCAAGTAAGCGGCAATTCCTTTAAGGAACTGGACATTATCCAGCTTAGGTTCACTGCCTTAAGGAAGTGCAACCAGATCCAGCCATCCACCTAGCAATGAATCAAAAGATGATTAACAGTTCCTAGATCCTGTCTACACAGATTGCATACTTGATCTTGAATCTGCAGACCTCTTCTTTGCAGGCTGTCCTTTGTTAAACATTTCCCAAGCGCAGCAGGCAACATAAGGAAGCCAATTTTTGAAGTCACAATGATCTCCATATCAAACTGCTTGGATAAGAAATATCCCTGGGGGCACTCAGGTTTCTTGTAACGACAGTGAAAACTTCAGTACTCTCCCATCTCCACTACCATTCATCCTCATTATACTCCCTGATTTTCTGACACCCCCAAAATCTGTAGGAGCTCCAAAATGCTGCTCACTTCCCAATCATGGAGATTCCTCCGGAAACTAGATGACCAGAGCACCTGTCCTCCCAACACTTGGTAGGAATCAGCCACTGAAGCCTCCTTATTTTCAGGCAGCAAGTGCAACTGAAGGAAATACTCCACCAGAGTTCTTCACTCCACCATCTGTCCTGCCAGAAGCTAAATATTTCCCCATTTCCCAGCTTGTAGGACACCCCATTCACAAAGGCTGTGTAGTTCTTCATAATGCCTTTCCACACTGAATTTCCCAAAGAAAGCAAAGGGTCCTCCCAGGTCCAATTACCTCTAGAAACTGCAAATTTGCTTGCTATCAATTTCCTCCACCAACCCTCTCTCCTAACCATGATCCTCCACATCCATTTCCCAAGCAATGCCACATTAAAATCTTTGATTCTCCTAATACCAATCCCACCCTCCTCAAGAGGAAGACAAGTTTGGCCTCACCATACAACATGACTTTTATTCTCATCTTGCTAGCCATGCCATGAAAAATCCCTTTGTAGCCTTCTCAATCCTTCTAGAAACCTTCATAGGGATGAGGAATAAAGACATGTAATAGGTATCCCCTACATAATGGGATAAAAATAAAACAGAAAGTAAGGGCATATAAATAACTGTGACATATAGGTACCCCCTACATTGTTATCCTTTTCTCTCCTTTCCTTTTGGCCTTCTTAAGTGGCAACTAAAGGCCATTCTCTCCAGGACACTCTCATTGTGATGACAGAAATTCACACAATTTCCTTCTGTTCAGGTTGATCTTAATGTTTTAATACTGATGAGGTTTGTAATAAACAGTATTTTGGTAAATGAGTAATAAATATTTCCTACCTGTTGAAGTCTCAAAAATGCTTTTGGTTACCTAAATTTGTTTATTTATAACTTGGGCATTTTATCATGTGGGCAATCATATCAATGTATATTCAGTATGGACCTGGCCCATCTATCTAGTCATCAAAATAAATTATGAAGATTGGAACTTATTTCCGTTTCTTCTCTTTTAAAGATGGAGATGGCTTACTGTCTTGTTATTTTGAACATAAAATTGCAACTCAGGCACTAATGTCCATAAATTCATATATCAATAAACAAGATCAGGAACCATCCTCCTTTGATCCTTTCTTCAAGTCAATGAACAGGTATTACACCTAGAGTGTCAAATTTGTGGTGCAGAGCATCAACAACTGAGTTTTCAGCTTAAGCCATAGGGGGCATTCCACCATCTAATCTTTCCTCTTAAGAATGAATTAGTGAATGGATTTTAATGATAATAATAATAACAACAACAATAACAACAACAACAATAATAATAATAATAACAGAAGCAATAACCATAAACAGGGGGGCCGTTTCTTCTTTGTTGTATTTCTTTTTCTCTGTTGTCAGATGTGGATAGCCTCTTGGGAGGTCCAGCTTTGTACACTTCTTTGGCTGCACTTTTGTGTGCAGCTTGTTTTTAACGAATTTTCTCACTGTGTTGCTTATCAAAAAAAAAAAGAAAAAATAAATAACCATAAACAGGGGGGCACCTTGATCATCATTCATTTCTTAGGGATGCTGCAAAATAAGAGAAATGAGTTTCATTTTGACACTTCAGGAATATAAAAAAAGAAAAGAAAGGGATTTTTTTTCTTACTGTTTTATAACCCAATATGTTCCTTGAAGTTGGATCATCCCATACAAGCAGCAGAACCCTCACACCTTCCTGTGACTTGGACTTGAGAAGATCCCCAAGAGTGCACTCTGATGCATAAGCAGCATCCCTGACCAATCTGACTTTGTGATACACTGACCACCCAGTGATGTAAACTAGTCGGCGAGCCTGACTTATTGAGTCAAAAATGTCTTTCCAACATTTACCATGTTCATAGTGCATCCCATAATTGAGCTTCATACTTGGAAGGTAACCATCAGGCACATGAGCATCTTGGTAAAGTGTAACTCTTCCACCTTTTCTAAGTGGAAAATATGTACCTGGGACACCATAATAGTCAGGGCCTGAACCAACTCCGTGATGGTAAATGGTCATTTTCTCTATTGGGGTATACTGAATTGACAGGGTCAATGCAGCTCCACGCTTACAGGGCTTCCCACTTGAGTTGAGGATTGGGAAGCTTCCTTCGATTTTTGCTCCTGAGTATATGTTCTCCACTGGGATTGCAACAACCCCTATTAGCTGGGAACCAACAACATCACTGTCTTTGACAACAAAATGCACCTCTGCAGCATAATGTGCAACAGGGAGATAAAACCTCTGCATCCAAACAGGGTTTTCACTATTACTAATCACATAAGTCCTCCCAATTACAGCATTGGACATAGAAATAGAGACATATGGATCGCTAGTTATCTTATGAGGCATGTGCCCTTCAATTTTGCTGCTGACATTTATGGGCAATTTCCCAAACACATCTCCTAAAGTTTTGTGGAACATGTCCATATTCGGAAGGTTCTCTGCCTTAACGATCAAAATATCTAAATTCCCATGTAACAGCAAGACTTTCAAAGACCCTTTAGATGATTGAATTGGCACTATCTGCATACTCTGACTATGCTGTGAGCTATCGAATGAAACTGATGGGGAATAAGCTAACGGTGGAGATGAAGTAACCGGGCCTGAGTGAAAAGGTTCCCCACCACTTGAGAAAGAATTATTAGTACAACTATACATATCCACCCAGTTATTATACCTTGCGCTCTGGCTCTGAAACCTCGGAGGTGGATATGATGCTGGTGGCGAAGATGTCAAACTCGGGGCAGTGGGACGGAGATCAAACAATTGCACCTTATCGAATAGATCTTCCACAGGAGGATAAAGAGAAGGGCGGGATGAAGAAGATTCACCTAAACCAAGAGTTGGAGAGGACCCAACACTGGTAGGCACTGAACTATCTTGGTGACTGTAACTAGAGAAGCTATTGACACGGGCAGGAACTGGTGGGTAACTTTCTGGCGGTGGATACTGATCGGACTGTTGGGAAAGGTAAGGCGATGAACCGTATTGGAAACTGCTGTGGTGCTGTAGGCTAGGTTGATGAGAATTCTGAGTTACTGGGGGAACAAAAGGGGAATTCGCATATGAGTATGGATAGGGAGGTTGGGAATAGTAAGAAGTTGGGGGATAACGATATTCTAAAGGCCCAGAATGACTCGAGTATGGAGGAGGAGGAGGAGAGTGGGGGTATTGAGGGTAAGTGAAGGAGTGTGAGGGAGATGAAGCATACAAAGAAGCATGACTTGGAGGTGGTGGTGCTGGAGATGGTGAATATGGATCTGAATTTGGAGGAGGAGTACTGGTAGTAGAGGGAGGAGGAGGATATCGATATGAATCACTATACAAATATGAACTATAGTTCTCCATTAACAAAGAGAAAACTGTTCCTTTCAATGAATTTGCAATTCTCAACCACTAATGAAACAGAGAGCAGAAGATAAGCGAGAAGAAATCAAAATGAGTTTGTTCGTTTCTTTTCAAAGTTTATTGTTCTTCACTCCGAGATGGCTTACAGAATTATTAGCCAGCTGAATTGAATTCAAGTCAATTGAATTTGGTGGTTTGGAACTAAAATTAATAAAAAAGGATCAAAGAGTTACCGTTCAGAGTTGGTTATCAGAGAAGATGTGATGGAACCGTTCCCAGGCAGCCTTCAGACAAAACGAGACATATAGCGAGAGAGCGAGAGAGAGAGAGAGAGAGAGAGAGAGAGAGAGAGAGAGAGAGAGAGAGAACGACGAGGAGGAGGGTGGAAAAGTTGGGTTGACGAGAGACAGAAGATGGAGCGAGCGGAATTTTGGCTTTTTCAATTTTATTGCTTGGTTTTGTAATTTCGTCGTCGTTGTTTGTATCGTTTTCTTCTTCCCTCGGTTAAGGAACCCATGAACGTTTCCTTACGGAATCTGGTTAGCTTGCTCGCTCTGTAAAGGTTTCCAATTCTCAATATTTTTCTGTTATTTTGCCGTGGGCGATTAAAACTGGATTTGGTTTAATTAATGAGGCAGAGTTTTTACTGGACTCCTCGTCAAAATGTTGCCAAAAAACAATAGAGTATAGACTCCTCGTCAAAACCAAACGGTATTGTCCGAATTCTTAATTTGGACTCGGATGCGGTTAAGGATTACCCGAATTAGATTCATTGAATATGGATCCACCCTTGTATCCTTCTAATATGATTTATATTTGAAACTCAAATTGTTTTCTAGCAATATAAAACAAAATTGGTGTGAATGTCATATTTTTCAGTAAAAAAATATCATATATAGGTAGTTTTTTCAAAACCCGGTTCCGACCCGGTTGACTCCTTTTTTTTTCATGTGGTGGTTCATCAGTTCAATCGTCGAGAAAGTTGAACGAGTCAAAGTATCAAACCATGAGAAGACCAATGCCAGTCAGATTAATATTAATATATTAATGGCACTTAGTTTGCTTTTTTATACAATATTTAAAGAAAAAACAAAATTATTGAATTGATTTGGAAGTGGTTAATTTTTAATCCGTTATTCATTATTCCCATTGACAGTTCATCCACCACCAAACACACCACACCTCCTTTTTTACAGGGTAAGGAGTTCTAATCTGATATTCAGACTATATTCTTAAATATCTCTGTCATAAATAATATTATATACAAAATTATATAAAAATTAAAATATCGATACAATACATATTCATCAAAATATATTATGTGTACAAAATGTGGTATATGACAAGTTCTATTGCCACTTGTCAAGTCTTTGGTCTTCTTACATTTATTAATTTTAATAAGTTAGCTAGAATTGAACAACAACCAGCTGTCTGTTTTATCGAGAAGCTTCCATGGATTAAATTTCTTTGTGCCATGTTTTCAATAGGGATGGAAGATCAAATTTCTGTTTCATGGTGGTCGTTCTCGGGCGTAGACTAGTTAATTATCGCACCAACTGCTCCCAAACTCTCTCACCAATCGTCAGTCGTGAATAGTGATAGCTAAGGCTGACGACGGTCCATAAGCCCGGTTTAATAAATACAGTCTGCTCTAGGTCTATTACTTAGAGACTGATCTGGATCGGACCTGGGTCTAACTTCACTGGGCCCAGACTGGCCCACTGACAGCTTTAGGATAGCTATCCAATGTTAACAGGTACGACAGAATTGACTTGAGGGGCTTGGATCTGGAGTTGAGGGGTTCGGATCTACCGCCTACCAGTTTTCCCACATCTCAGGATATTATAACTGTGCCATGGGAATTTGTAGTTAATAGATCTCGAATTGAGGGGCTCGGATCTCCATGAAGAGATGTAAAAACAATTTGTGGGGAACAGATCCAGAGTGTGGATGCATCAGTTAATTAATAAAATATTAATTTAATTAAGCATTTGGGAGTCCCTGTCAGTGGGCTGAGAGCGTTTCCCCACGGTATTAATTAGATTATTTCTTCTGATTTATGAGTAAGAAAAGAAGAGAAATCCTTGGAAGCAATTAAAAGGCTTAAGGGTGCATCACCAAGACCCTTCAACCAAGCAAGCACCAAAGTCATGGGCCTTAGTCAATTGGTTAAGCGTGTTGAAAAAGCCCTAGTACCGCATTCTTCCTGGTTCCTGCTAGCGTGTTCCTTCAATTCAATTCTTCTGATGAAATTGTTGGAAGAGGGTGGAGCTAGAATGGAAAATTTTGGTTCCAGCTATGGCCTTAACCGTGGAATGATGGTTGAGCTGGACAGGGTAAAATGAGATTTCTTGCAAGTTTGCAACTCTATGATTACTTCACGGATTTAGACTTTGGAAGAGTACACAGCAGCTTACTCTAGAATTCTGAAGTTACAGTCCCTTATAGTCTATTAATAGCCCCTGTCTCCTATAAATCACATAGGAAATACTTCCTGTGGATTTGTCATCAATCCATAGTCAGGATTCATCCCACAGGTGGGGCTAAGAATTCTGAAGTGGGCTGAACAGTCATTTTTCCTTTAGACTTTGATTTAGAAGGTTTTTTTTTTATTAATTGTATTTAGTGATACTCGCAAATCGTTGAGTAGCACAGCACCACACTAGTAAGTAGTAACCCCCTAAAATCAGTGGTAGTGAATTGAATTCACGTCTATATTAGAACAAATCAGTTAATGTACCAACTGAGCCACCCCTCAATAAGCATACAAGAAAAGATTTGATGCAAAGGAAGTTTGTTTTGGTTTGAGCTATTGAGTGGGATCAACACGGGAAATCTTTATTCAAGCCCAAAACTTCCCAAATAGGAAAAATAACTGAAACAACTGATTAATCCAAAGCTGATCAATTGTTTCTTATAATATTGTTACCCAACATGTAGTTAGTTCATCATCATTTTCATTTAAATCTTATATTAATTATATAGGGCCAAGCATGAATCCTTTTTCACCATTCCATTCTGCTTAGTGCCATGTCTATTGTTAAATTATGAACACTTAATTCACTTCTTATTTCTTCAACCCATGCCCTTTTTTAGTGTATCCCTAGTCCTTTCAGCCACTTCAACTTGTTATAGATCACTTCTTCTCATGGATATGTGGATAACTGGATATAGAGAATTATGCTATAAAAGGATTGCATGGAAAGACAACGAAAGAAAATATCCTGAATTCTTAATTTGAGTGCAAAACAAGTTCGGATATGTTGATACATAACGTTGGCCACATTTAGGGGTGATCTTTTTCAGCTCAGCCTGGCCTAGAAATTCAAGTTCACATCTGCCCTTCACAGAACGTGCCCCAAAAATGCCCCACATGCACATCTCAACATGCATTGAGAACATCTTGGGAGATGTTCCCACTACACGGTTAGGATGTTTCGTGGGATGTTTTTGGGGTGCACTCTATGGGGGCAGATGTGAACTCTATAAATTCCATGTTGGGGCCTAGGTTGTTTTTATAGAATATACAAAATAAATCTTATACAAATACTATATGACATATAATATATAAAATTGTATATATTTAATATCTTATAGGATCATTTAAATAGACACCCATAGTTTCATGTATTTACTAAAACCTAACCTATAGTTTCATACCCTATGGTTTGCAACTATTTTATTCATCACTGTTATTCTTAGATGGGAGTAGAAAATGGTGCTTTTGAAAGTAACATCCTATCTAACCTAATTAATCAAAAGAAAATAGAAAACAACACAACATTTATTTTTCCCCAAGGTTTTGTTCATAAAAGGTAGCAATGGCAACGGGGCGGGGCACCCCCTACCTGTCCCCGCCCTAAAACCAAGATACTCTACCTCGCCCCTAGTGGCGGGGTAAGTTCAAGGCAGGGCATTCATTCCTCGTTGGGGATGGGAAATCCCCGAATTTTTCCCACCCTAAGGCAATAACTTAAAAATATATTTAATTTTAGGATATTTTAGAAAGAAGGATTATGAGAATTTGAGGGTATTTTAAGAATTGGATTATAACAATTTTGAGGTATTTTAGAAAATGGAATTATAGTATTTTAGGATTTTAAGAATTTGGGAAAAACTTAGAGGTGTTTTAAAAATTAATATTAAACATTGGGATATTTTACTAATTTACCATCAATGAATTATATGCAAACCCCATCCCCACCTTATCTCCGATTTGGGGCAAAAATATTTTCTTCATTCTCACTTCGTCCCTGATTTGGGGAAAAAATAATGCCCTCATTCTCACCCCATCCCCGTTTAAGATCAGGGAAAACCCGCCCTATTCAGGGCAAGGCGTTGCCCTAATTTTACAGGAAAAATTGACGTCCCTAATAAAAGGTTGATATGAGAATTGCTAGGGGTACTCTTGAAATTAAAAAAAAATACTTAGGCCATGCCCTTTCACATTCTACACATGTTTTAAGAGGTCATTTGACCAAATAAATGACATTATTTTATACATAAAAAGCTATAGGCTTGGAATCAGACCCATACTATATCTCTTAGGTGGCGTTTGATAACACTTTTCAGACGTCTGAAGTCTGGAAACGTTACTTTTCAGACATCAAAGCTGTTTGTAAGTGCATCTGAATTTGGATGTAAAATGAATTTTCAGATTTGAACTAATAAGACAGAGGCCAGATGCTGAACACGGTTAGATGTGTTTCAGACCTGGCCAAAAGTCCAAAATACCCTCAAAATGATCTGAACTAAACATATGCGTTTCTCGGGCACCGTTCATCTTCTCCACTTGACGCAGCGGCAAACCAGTGGCGGTGAGCTTCCTCCTTCGACAGGCACCATTCATCCTCTTCTTCTTCTTCTTCTTCTTCTCTGGTCTCGTGGCTTCCGCCTTCTCTGCTTTTTTTGTTTTCAATCGCTGCTACAACTCTCAACAGCGGAAATATATTTTCTCCTCTCCGGCAGCGAGCTTCTTCTTCTTCTCCTCTCTGATCCCATGGCTTCCGCCTTCTCTACTTTTCTGTTTTCGATTGCCACTACAACTCTCAGTAGCAGCAATCTATTTTCTCCTCTCCGGCGGCGAGCTTCTTCTTCTTCTTCTTCTTCTTCTCTCTGATCCCATGGCTTCCGCCTCCTCTGCTTTTCTATTTTTGATCGCCACTGCAACTCTCAGTAGCGGCAATCTATTTTCTCCTCTCCGACAGTGAGCTTCTTCTTCTTCTTCTTCTTCTTCTTCTTCCTCCTCCTCCTCCTCCTCCTCCTCCTCCTCTCTCTTCCCATGGCTTCCGCCTCCTCTACTTTTTGGTTTTCGACCGTCACTGCAACTCATAGCATTGGCTATCTATTTTCTCCTCTTTGGCGGCAAGCTTCCTCCTCTAGTCACCGCTGCATCCAACGCAACCTGTTGATGCTCGAGAACTAGCTTCCCCTCTTCGTGCTCAAGAACAACAACAAGCCAAGGCTCCTTCTTCTCCACGTTGACTGTTAATGCCTGCTTCCCTCTTCCAAGAGAGCTTCCAACAAATTCTGTCCAAGATCAGGCAACGTAAGAAGCACCAACTCCAACTAATGACCCACTGTGTCA